CCGGCGGAGGCGGGAGGGAGACCGACCACGGGGGAGGGGGAACTCTCTGTCTGCCTGCTGGGGAGGCAAGGGCCTCTTATGTGAGCGGCCGGGTAAGTACTGTATGGAGGGCATAGGCTATGTAGGGAGAAGGGAGCACCCAAGGCTGCATGGTTAGAAGAGAAGTGTCTTTGAGTTAACTTGAGCTCCCTCCTGAAGAGAAATCATGTGTGTGGGTGGCCAAACTGGGATTACTGGATGGTGAAGAAAAGGAACTCGGCACGTGTTTGGGGCACTCATTCTTTATACTTTATATGTTCCTGACTTCTGCTGGGCAGTGACACAGATGAAACACCCCCCCACACACATTTTCTGGATTGAGAAGTTAATTGTTGATTAATTTTAACTGGGGTGTGTGTGTGCCGTGTTGCTTTTGAGAAGATGTGGATAGATTGGAAGCGTTTCCCTTCACCCGCCTTTTACATCTCGTGCAGTAAGTGCAGTGCCTTGGATATTAGCGTGGTAACACCCTGGCATTGATTGTCTTCAGGGGTCATGAATTAACACGAGAGTCAGAAAATCTGTTCCAATAACCCATCAAAGTGTGCAGGGAAGCAAGGCATTTCTGTGGGCTATCAAACTTGGTGTGGATTTCTGTAGGCTGGGGCTGGTGTTCGTTTGCTAAGTTTAGATACTAATAATAGACAATATAAGAAGGAAAGACCAACTGATATGCAGGATTCCTTATTTTTATGGGAATTCTTCTGCAGCCTGTAGTTGTCTTAACAAGAGCACAGGGACAGAAGGCCAGGGATGTATGTTCTGAGGACTGATGAAAAAACATGTGGAAAGCCAAAGCTTCTCCACCTCCAAAGTTGACTGTGACTCATGCTTATTCTACTGGTTGCTCTGGAGTAGTAGATAACACTTGGAAGCTGAAGCATTTTCCACACCTGGGCTTCTGGAATTGGGAGCAGTGGAGAATTTCTGTGGTGGGGAGGGCTGAGTCTACATCAGCACTCTGTTGCTTGCAGAAACGTCCCATTGAGCATGTAGTTTTCTGGACTTTCTTCTTGTTTGTCCACTCCAGACAGGCCTTCAGAAGCCTGCATTGGAGGAGTTGTGATCCCAAAATGTTTAGAAAGCATCAGAGTGGGGAGATTGCTTTACATCTTGAGGAGGCCACTGGCTCTTATCTCTGAACTGCAACTTTCTTTACCTGGATGGCCATATAAGGTTTAAAAAAGTACTGTAAACTAATTTAAAAGTTCCTAATCAGCATCTCTCGGATGTCATTCTGTGCCTTTCAAAGGGCATATTTCCATCAGTAAAAAAAGGTTTCTGCATATTCGGGTGTTTGCATTCAAATACTAATCTACCATATAGATTTTTTCAAATAGAGAAGTCTGTCTCTCTGCCCCTTTGTTGCACTTGTTACATTGTCACAAAATGAGTTCTCACTTATAACCTAAAAGTGCTTAGGCCAGACTGCCCCTCTTAATTGGCCATAGAACTAGAGTAGAAATTCTGGGAGAACATGAAACAACTTTTGTGCACATGTGTACATATTGCTTTAGATGCTCTGTTGTAATACATTCAGATGTATAAGGAGTTTCTATTTCCTAGCCTCTGGTTTGGGTGGGGGGGTCAGTACGCAAGCAGCTAAGCTCTTCTAAAGACTTACATAGGAGTAAATGTCTTGCTTTTCCAGGATCTGTTTCACAGACTGCTTAAAGATTAATATACTCATTCCTGTTTATTAACTTAGAAATACATACAATTCTAGTGTTCACTCTTCTGCTAGAAAGGTAATTGAATAAAGCCGTGTCTTGGACATGTCGTGGTCTAATGAAGAGAGAATGTTTCTCAAGGTTGATTTTGATTTTTGCATCTTATAGTTATTTTACATTTGTTTTAAAGTGTTTTTAACTGTTTCAGTACTGCTGTATGTTTAATTTTTATTGCAATAATTTATTGCTTTTTTAGTTGGTTTCTCTTTAATAATCTGCTTGAGTTCCTTCGCAGGGAGAAAGGCAGCATAAAAATCTCTCAATGCTTTATATATTAGGTCTAGGTAATAAAAACCAAAATATCACAGTAACTGATTTTAAGTTCAGAACTTTGCTTGCAGAATTATTTTTTAAAATAATTTTATTTTGCTCATTTATAACTTATTTGTAAGTTTAAATTTGGCATTGAAATGCAGAGTATAAACTTTGAAGCATATCAGGCAAAAATAAAATAAGAAATAAAGAAGGCAAAATGTTGTGGCACTTTAAAAACTAGCTGCTATATCTTAATGTGAGCTTTTGTGGACAAATCCAGTTCCTTAGATATTTTAAAACAGCTTCTCTAATGGAATCCTTACTAATTTCAGATGGACTGTGTGGTAGACTCGTCACTGCCGAGAATGGAAACAACTGTTCCCTTGATGTTTTTGGCCTAGATTCTCACTGGCCCTAGCTAGAATAGGGATCAGGGGAGTTGCTGACCAAAACAAACAAACAAACAAAAAACCTGGAGGATCACAAATGCCCATTCCTGTATTTTTGAAGTATTAATAAGAAAATCAGAGGAAGTATAATTCTCAGAGAACAACAACAAAAAGGATAGTTAGGTCTCTTCATGGCCAGTGACTATGCTGGTTAGGGTGCTATGGCAGTTGTGGTCTAAAAATGACAGAGGCCAGCTGGGAAGCAAGCAGCCGAAGCACCCTGGCCAGGCTCAAGCCTCCCAACACTGGGCCACCGCTGTGTCTGCCGCACCCGGGAGGCCAGCGGCCAAAGCACCCCAGCCAGGCTCAAGCCTCTCAACGCTGGGCTACTCCTGCCACTGCTGCACCCCTTTCCCGAACCATTTGGGTGAAAGAGCTAGAAAGAAGCAGCCTCTTTGCCACCAACGGTTTGAATTTCCCACCCTTCTGCCCTGCCTTTTTTTGTCTGTAGGTCAAAGCTCCGTTCGCAAGTCAAAACAAAATTTTGCAAACGGAGCTGTTCATAAGTCAAAATGTTTGTAGGTCAAGGCATTCATAAGTCAAGGCACCACTGTATAATAAATTCTCCATATTTGAAGTGTAATAGATACTTAACCAAAATTTGAATAATCTCAAACAAGCTACAGTTTGTATTAAAGATAGTATGGACTCCAGACAGAGCACTGAGTAGGGCACACATCTTGGTAATCCTAATGCTCTGCGTAAGGAGGAGGATTGTAGCTGTTCAATCGATCAATCCATAGTACTTTCCCAAACTGGGAAACCATAGACGGCTTGTGGAATAATTTTGGACTTGAAAACTTGCAATGCTGCTGGGACAAACTGATTTCCTGAATTGTAATAAAAACGCTGAATAGATAGCCACACTTAAAGCCATTTTTCGATGGAGGATCTAAGAGTGCTTATAATGAAAAAGAACACATAAGTATTTATACTGTTTAACCTGTTCTATGTGATTTCCACTTAGGTTCTATTGACATTGTTTCCACGTTTTGGCAAAAATCAGTATTTTTTATTTATTATAATTTAATTGCATTTTATTTTTGCTCAGATATTCTGCACATCCATTAATCAGGCATTTTAGGCCAGGGCGAGTGCAGAGGATGATGACTGCATCATCTACATAGAGTAATATCGGGTTGGGACGAGTTCCCAATTTGGGAGGGTAGACATTAAAGTTTGTCAAAAAGGGTGCGAGATCATTCATAGAAAGGTAAGAGAGCCAGGATGCAGCCTTGTTTCACTGCCTTGTTAGTTGGGACCTGTTTGGTTACTTTCTCCCCTTCGAAAGAGTTTATGAGGAGAAGCAGTCTTTTATCAATGACCAAATTTTCCAGTTTGAAACTCCCTTTAAATCAAGGAAGGCCACATAAAGTTTGGCATTAGCATATTTTCATGCTTTATTAATGAGGTGCTAGAGTATCAAGCAATTGTCAGTTGTGGACTTGCCTTTCTTAAAACCAGCTTGCTCAGGGCCAAGAATAGATTGATTGTCAGTCCAAGAGGTTAGTTTGTTTAATAGATATTTTGCATATAATTTCCCAATCACTCATAGTAAGCTAATTGGCCTATGATTTTCTGGGAGGGAAGTATCTTCTCTGTGAGAACTAGTGACAAATCAATTTTTTTCTGATTTCTCCATGCAATTATTTCCAGCAGGTTAAAATCAGTCCTGAGCAGTCCCTACTAATGATGTGTTAGAGGTTAATTTCAGTAACTGTTTCATGAGCAAAGATAATTGCTCTTCTAAAATAGTTCAGGTTTTCTCGTGGAGTGACTCACAGTTATCATATATTCCAAAGAAATGTGATTAAAAAAACTCTTGAGAATTTCAGCTGCATTGTTGTTGTTTTAACATTTAGAAACAATCCAGTTTCACTCTTTCCAGATGTCTTATGGGGTGAGGCAGGATACGGCCTCTGAACTGAAGAGTTTTCCTTGCTCCATTAAGGTAAGGTGGAAAAATACCCAGTTTTTTTTTTCCCATAAGCTATTTGACATTCTTCATTTATGTACTTCGATGCATTTCTGTCACAAATCCTAACATCTGTTTATTGTAAATTTATACTGTAATTCAGTTTAGGGAGAACTGTGTCTCGTTAAACACTTCCTGCAGATTGTTTCATCCTTCCAGACATGGTGTGACCAATGTATGCCAGAGGCGCGAAGAACCCTCAAGTATTGTTGAAGTTTATAAGCAGGGATTCCACCCAACTTGTCTCATACCCCCAGCCCTAGACACACCTTCTACTGGGCTTTGCTGGGATCTTTGTTGACTGACAGACTTTAGCAAGCCATTGCTTAATGCAGTTGCCCAGACAACTGAATTCCCTTTAGCCAGGCCAAAAGTGTTTCTGGCTAACCCCGGTTTCTCTTCCAGCACAGGAGAATGTACCATTTCTAAAGAAAGGCTTTACTTTAAACTGGCTATGAGAGTGGTGTAGTTGAAAAGCAGTCTACAGATGTAGGAAATGAAGTAAAGTGACCTGTTGCTCTCTTCCAACTTTGTTGCAAATACTTCCACCCCTGCAGTGTTCTGCTGAAACAAGGGACTACAGTTTGTAATCAGTCTCAGTCCTTAAAAATGGATTATCACAGCAAACAAATTCCAGCTCCTTGCTTGGTTGTATTTTCTCTGAGCTACATAAAATCAGAGAACCATCATGATATAATGGATAGAGTGATGGACTAGAATTCAGGAGGTTTGGATTTGAACCCTCACTTGGCCACTAAAACTCAGGAAGGGGGCAGTGGTAAAACCACCCCTTACATGTTTCGCATAACTTGAGAACCCTATTAAGATTGCCAGAAGTCAGATGTGATTTGACAACATGTAACGAAAACCTCAGTTTGTTTGTTCTTCCTTTTGAAGTCTTATTTGTCAAAGCTCTATTTTGTGCAGTTTCATGTGTATTTCAAATGTGATATGTTACTCCAGCTACAGTTTTGCTAGAGCAGAGCCAAGTAAGAGAAGAGTTACTGCATCTTATTCACAGAACACACTATTGGTGTGACTATGGCAGTGGTATTATATTAGCTGATTTCTAATTCTCTTTCAGGATTCCTGGTGCCTTGGTACTTATGCCATGTTATCTCCAATGCTACCTCCACTGCCACTTGCTTTCCTATTCCATAGATTTTCTAACTAAGTAAAATTGTACCAGTGTACTTTCCAGCTTGTAAGGCAATTAAATCTAATGGCATGGATGCCTTTTAGGCTAGCGAAAGAGTAGAGAGAAAAACTTTGTATCTGATGGCAGAGAAGTAACTTTCCGTGTTTTAATAGATGCTCCAAGAATCAGAGGATGCACTATTAGATGTGAGGCAGGGAAGCCTTTGTGCTGTTCTTGCACTATGTGCAATAGTTTGCACATGTTGGTAGGGTAAATTAGCCCCTTACCAGATATGTGAGTGACTCACAGGTTCCCAAAAAGGAGTCTGATTTTCCAACTGTTTCCTTTTTTAAAATGTCTACGTTTCAGAGGGGAGGAAGGTTGTTGCTGACTGAAATCCTCTTTGCTCAGCTATGTTGTATATAGGGCTGATGATGTTATCAGTCACAGTGATTTAAAAAAAAAAATTTAAGAAGTCCAATCCTGCCCTGAAGGTCCTGAGGCTCCCATTGAATCCCCTTTATTATGGAGGTTGGGGACTGGAGGATGGGTTCATGTATGTGAGGTTATTTAATTTCCAAAAATCGTTGCTGCTGGTAAATTCACCCCAGTTTTTTTTAAATTGAAGGTTTCCCCCATCCTGTAGTCCCCCAACCCCATGGCTTCCCCACAGCATAAGGGATTTTGTGGCTGGACATTTTTAGTTCTGCAAAACCTCTGTGGCTCATGAGGTCATTGGCCTTGCGCAGTATAGCTGTCCAACCAGGATTTCAACCTACATATGTATATATGTATGAAATAAAAATCCTTTCCGTGCATGAAATCCATCTTGGGTCGGATTTCTGTTTAGGGCTTGGAAACCTAAATCTTCTGAGCTTTAGTCTCAAAATCCCCATCCAGTGTGGCCACTGCTCATTTTTTGCAGTGACATTCAGATCCTTGTAGGACTTTTGTTCTCTTCCAAACTGCCCTCTTGGAACTGGGCTCTTTTCTGATCTTACTGTTCATCCTCTATTGATCCTCCAAGCCAGTCTATTGCAGCAAAGAAAAAAAATTAGAGTCAACAGAACAATTGTAACACCGAGACAAAGGCATGAGTTACTGTCAAAGAGAACAGACCCATTTGATTGCTCATCATTTTTCTACTTCATTAAAAAAAGAGAGGAAGAAGCATTTGTGCTTCTGTGCCAGAAAGTTCTCTCTGTGTTGTAGAAATATTTTACTATTATTACTTATTAAATTTGTTTTGCTTTTTACTACAGAAAGCAGTTTCAGAGCAATGTAGAGCATGTACAGAGAGAAATCCATAATAGCAGTAAACAAAACTGGTATCAGGCCTAACTAACATAATAAATAGAAATGAATGCTAGAAAAACAGTCTAAAAATACAATATTCTATAAGGCACAAAATGCTACCCACTCACACAGCTTTGAATAAACACCTGTTGCTAAATTTATTTATTTATTTAATTTATTTATTCCATTTATACCCCGCCTATCTGGTCATATTGACCACTCTAGGCGGCTTACAACACAAAACACAAAATACAAAACCAATATATAAATAAAAAGGAATTTGTAAATATATATGTGCCTATAATTTTTTATAGGGAAGAATCCCATTCAGTTAGTGGAGGTTAATCATAGTTGGTTCTTCCTCCTTTGACCACACTATTAGATATATCTGGGATTTGGGGCAAATTAAGTCACCTTTTTTTTAGTAACTTCAGGAGGTTTATCCACAAGGTCAGTCTAAGCTTCCCCCCCCCCCCATTTAACTTACNCCTTCCACTGTGTTTTGGATATGGACTTCCATCAGCCTGTGGCCAGAGGTTAAGTGTCCTGGAATTGTACTTCAAATCATCTGGGGGGCACCATACTGAAGAATGGTGAATAAAATCCATTTTGAGCTTTCCCTAAGAATTTATGAGAAGAGACTCAGGGTATTCACAGAGAAAAATAGCTTGTGCTGTTGAACAGGCTTTCAAGTAGGTTTTGTCAGGATGAAATATGAAGTATGTATATTTGAACAGTCGCCTCAGGGGAAAAATGTGGAATATACATAAACAAGCCCTAACCAATTTAATGTAAAACTGCTGAATAATTTGTAGGCTCTCTTGAGCATGGAAAATGCAGTACATATATTTGTTACAAATGCATGTAATAAATATGTCCTTTCCCTGGTAGATTTCAATTTTTTTAATAGGCAAAGAGTCAAATTCCACATAAAACTGGTAATACAGAAAGAGTTTCATGAACAGTTTGAGAAAAGATATAGAATGAATCTTAAACACCTTGCTGAAAAGTATTGAGGCCTACCCCATTAAATAAAATTAGCATGCCAAGTGTTATATACAGTGGTAGGTATATACATTACTGCTGTACATATTCTTTAATACAGGTACATAAGGATAATAATGATTTCCTCATTTTAAAAAAACCCACACAGTTGTTATTATTCCTAAAGAAATTTTCTTCACTTACTTTACATGCAATGAAAATGGAGGAATAAGGGACTGAGAACATTGCGTTCTTGAAGGCTTTCACAGAAAGGATCTGATGGTTGTTGTGGGTTTTTCGGGCTCTTTGGCCATGTTCTGAAGGTTGTTCTTTCTGATGTTTCACCAGTCTCTCGAGCATGGACAGAGTTCCTACTCCTGTCCTCTGAAGATGCCGGCCACAGAGACTGGTGAAACATCAGGAAGAACAACCTTCAGAACACGGCCAAAGAGCCCAAAAACCCCACAACAATCGACTGAGAACATTGCTTGGCTAGAAAAGAAGTGTTCACGTTGCACTTTAGCATTTGTGCCCTTCCTTTGGGGGAATGCTCAGTCTGTGTGGGAGTGGTTAATTGTGTGTATTAACTGTATAAATACTTGTAATGTTCACAAATAAGCTGTCAGGCATTTTGACTTCTGTTGTAGCTCCTTATATGGGACACTGTGCTGTTGTTTGTTATTGTTTTTGGTGCTAACTTGCAAAACTAAATAAAGTTTTGTACTTTCAGTCACAAAGTAATCCTCTATCAAGCCTGTTTGTGGGTGAAACGTATTGTCAGGAGACACCAGCCCTCTTTTCAGGGAAGTCAGTCCAACATAAATCAGGTATCTGCTTTCAGTTTGCATCTGTGTCTGTGGTGATCTTGCCTCTAAAATATCTCAAAGGACAACATTGTGGATTCCTGCCAGGCACAAGGGTGACACTGCACTCTGTTCCAGTCACCTTAAGATAACTTGCCCTTATGGGTAAGGATGGGACCTTGTATCAGTATTAGCAGTTAACCAATATTTCCTCATTTAATTTTCATCATTATGCTATGCTTTTACAACCTTTCATGTACACTGGACATTTTTCCCTTGTTACCTGAACTCTTTATTCCTCAAACATCAGTGCCTGTTAATTCTATATAAATATTGCTAAGCTTCAATGGGCTATCCTATTATAATCCGTCAGGTTCTTCTTTTAGATTTCTACATCATGTGGGAAAGTAATATCTAATTATAATAGAGTCTGTTACCTATTATAGTGTCGAATATGTCTTTTCTTGTCAGACTACAAAACAGGCCAGCGTTGAATTGTCTTCAACAATGAACCAATCCATTAGTCTTGTGGAAGGTCTAGATTTAAAAGGCATGCTATCTTTGATTGCGCTAATGACACAGTTCTCTTCTGCTACTTGTGGCTCTCAAAACAGAAACTATTGCAGTTCCGCTGTGAATGAGCAGACCTGTCTCTGAACATGCAGGACCTGGAAGTTCACGTGAAGTCTGTCTCTCACATTTTGCCAAAAGAGGCGAGAGATTGGCCACAGATATGTGACATGATCTGCGAGGGAACTGCAGAAACCCTGGCTAATCAATTATGCTGCTGCATGCTGGCTGAAGCCTCATTGTTTCTGTATGTGATGGGATCAGCTAAATAAACCAAGAAGCTTTGCTTTATGGTTTGTTGATCATGATGCCAGAATGTGAGTGCTTTCTCGTCTCTGGTTTATTCCTCTCCCTACAAATCAGAGAAACAAATGTAAACTAAACCCTGGATTCTCTCTCTTTGGTTTCTTGAGAGAGAAGTAGAGAAGAAAAGACACTGTGGTTTGGATTACATGGGGAAAACACGTACCTAAGCTCTAGTTTGTTCTGATGTTTCCTCTACAATTAGGAGCAATCAGGTCCTATGCACCAGCATACTGATCATAATCAATAAGCCAGTCTTACTTTGGTGTATAACCACAATTTGTGCAATAATGATAACATCATCAGGACTTCTGGGTTTTTGCTGTTAATTCTGTTGGAACACCTTTCTTCAAAATGGTACAAGTTGATTAGTCATTGCATACATTTATGTGAACATTACCAAAAAAACGTTCAAACTGAATAAATATGGTTAAACAAGAAATCTGTTTTAAATCTCCATTTGTCTCACTCTGGAGATGACAAAGTAACTTCAGAGTCTCACAATTGCCATTTTACAAATTTCCTTAGTCTTTCTTACAAATGGAAGCAGTGCCTCATTTAACAAGCACTGTTTCCTTGAGAATGTGAGGGACCCTTAAAATTTAGGGCATAGGAATATGGTATTAAAAGGGATACACAAGCCCTGAGTCTGAAAAAAGTGATTATTTTTACTAAAGTAGTAAATTGAATATCTTGTAATTGTGATATCTTGAATATTACATCTTGAAGATGCCACAAGACTCACCCTTTTCACTGCAATGGCTGTTGTACCTTAGGGGCTAGAGTTTGGGAATGGCATTCCCCTGACAGGTCTGCCTCATAATGTGGGAGTATTCCTGGTCTCTGCATTGTCCCCGAGTTCCCAGCTAGCAGCAGCGACAAGGAATGCCTTTGTACAACCTGACTTGGCAACACTTGTCCATGCTGTAGTTACTGTACACCATGTCTGAATTAATTCAACATGTTACATATTGGGATATCTTAGAAGAGAGCCTGGGGTCTTCAATTAGTGCAGAATTCTGTAACAGTTGGGCTCTGATGAGTACATAATATCAGTATCATGCATGTACTGTAATTCCTATGTTTAATTCTGTGGTTCTCAAAGTGGGTCCCCATAAGTTCTTGGACTACAACTCCCAGAGGTCTTGGCCAACACAGCTAATAATGAAGGCTTATGGGAGTTTTAATTCACCTCTGGGGACTCAAAGTTGGCAACTATGTGTTTAAAGACTGGCATTAGTTGCCAGTTGTTTGCCAGACACAATTCAACAGGCTAATTTTAAACCTTCAGAGTTCTAAAAAGTCTTGGGCCCTGTCTGTCTGATGGATCACCTGTCTTGTTGTGAACCTGTATGGATATTAACATCTTCAGACTCCCGGAGGACATTAAATGCTATAGCAGGTTGCTTGATAGGTAAACCAGAAAATATTTTATATGATGCTCCCAGATTATAGAATGCATTGCTCTTTGAACTATGAACAGTTTTCATTCTTATGGTTGTTGTGGTTTTTTTCAGGCTCTTTGGCTGTGTTCTGAAGGTTGTTCCTATCGTTTTGCCAGTCCCTGTGGCCAGCATCTTCAGAAGACAGCACCTTCAGAACACAGCCAAAGAGCCCGAAAAACCCATAACAACCATTAGATCCCAGCCGTGAAAGCCTTTGCAAATACAGTGGTGCGTCGCACAACGAGCGCACCTCCCGCACAGCGATGTTTCCCACAGCGAAGGGGCACCACTGTACATTTCCATTCTTCTTGGGAAAGAATGAAGATGCCTCTTTTTAAACTTCCTTTTGATAGAGTTTAACTTATTGTGATGATTTTAACTGTAGATTTATTGATTTGAATGATTTTATGGTCCTATTTATTTTATTTGGTTTTAAGGATATTATGATTGAAACTTTTTACTGTTACTGTTTTATTGTTTGATGGTGTAAACTACTTTTAGCACTATCTAGTAGTGGAAAGGCAGAATATAAATACAGCGGTGTCTCGCTAGACAGTTATCCTGCATGACAGTTTTTTCGCTAGACATTTACTTTTTGCGATCGCTATAGCGATTCGCAAAACAGTGATTTCTATGGGGAATTTTACTGGACAATGTTTGGTCCCTGCTTCGCAAATCAATTTTTGCTACACAATGATTTTTACAGCTCCCTCTGCACTCACAAAACGGGTGTTTTCGGGACCTAAGCTTTGCAAGACAGCTATTTAAACAGCTGATTGGCAGTTCGCAAAGCAGCTTTCCTATGGCCGATCTTCGCTAGACAATGACGATTCTTCCCCATTGGAACGCATTAAACAGGTTTCAGTGCATTCCAATAGGGAAATACTTTTCGCTAGACAATGATTTCGCTAAATAGCAATTTCAGTGGAACGGATTATCATTGTCTAGCGAGGCACCACTGTAATAGTAGGCCGGATGGTGGTAATGATGATGTGGCTGTGCTTCTAAAAATATTCTTGAAGGCTTTCATGGCCAGGATCTGATGGTTGTTGTAGGTTTTTTGGGCTGTTTGGCTGTGTTCTGAAGGTTTTTCTTCCTAACGTTTTGCCAGTCTCTGTGGCTGGCATCTTCAGAGAACAAGAATCTTCAGAGGACAGGAGTAGACTAGTTAAGAACACCCATCAATCACAGTGACAGACCATCTCCCCCCTTATTGCAACAATACACCCATAACAAAAAACACTATATTCACCATAATCACCCAGTCTCCTGAAAAGGACAAAAAGCTGATCCCACAGTTACAAATACTCAACTATCCCACACACTACACCAGAACACAGACAGAGTTCTAACTCCTGTCCTTTGAAGATGCTGGCCACAGAAACTGGCAAAACGTTTGGAACACAGCCAGACAGCCCAGAAAACCTCCAACAACCTTCTAGAAGTACCTTAGAATGGATCGGCAAAGATGGGATTCAAAAGGCTTTCAGGGTTATTGCTATTTTGGTTTCATAAAATAATGTAAACCTGTCCTAACGTGGAGCTGTCCCCAGGCCCCTTTAATGTCATTGTGTGCAAATTATAGTTTATTATCACGTTGGTGCATATATTGGTTACAACTAGAACATTTGTGTTCTGCCGCATTTGATTGCTGTCTTGCATACAGTAATAATGTACGGTGACAACATGATTGTGGCTGGGAAGGTATCCTTAGAACTTTATAGGTCATATAAGGATAGGCCTTGCATTTCTGATTGCAGACCACAGGCGGTGTAATCAGGTAAAATAACACCTCTTGTATGCTTGCCTGCACATACGTTGGAGATGTCAAAGACTGAAGTTATTTTCTAGTGTGAAAGAAAAGTCTTTAACCTCTGCTCTGTTAGACAGGAAAGAAATTGATAGAATTCTGTCCCAGTCATTTCTCCAGGCGATAGATACCATATGCTTTGCTGTCTGCTGGTTGGTAGAGCGCATAAATATATTCTCTGGAGGAGGTTTTGAAAGACATATTAATTTACCACTTTAGATACAAAAAAAATCCAAAATCTATGGCCAATTACATTAAATGGTTTAATTTATTCTGGGAAAGCTCTCTCCTCTTCTGAAAATAAAACCTATGGACCTATCAGAGTTATAATATAATAAGCTTTTAACTTACAAGTTGAGAAGGTTGTTAAGAGAGATAACATTTTTTTTGTTTCTTGTTTGAAAATGTAAATACTGCAGACACTGTGAACTCTTGGTTTTATTTGGTGTCTCATAGAAAACAGAAGGACCAGTATCAGACAGGTATTCCTGCTTCTGGCTCACGTAGCCGTTTTCCTAAGAATTTCTTTATATTTAAACTATACTGATAGACGTTTTCTTGAGCATTTGCAAATTGATTTAAAATAATTATTCTATTCTCTGCTTTTCTACAGAGGTGTGAAGTTTGAATAGTTCAGCAGTTTTTGTTTAGATAAGACATGATGATGCTTACATTTCTGCATTACATGTTGTGTTTGTCTTTCTGCACACTGTGGAGCTGGTGTTATAAACAGGAATTTATTAGTTTAAATCTGTGAAGTCAGTCTGTGAGCACGAATAATTAGTAGTTTAGAGCTTTAATCACACATCAGAATGTATACTGGCTAATCATGCAAATTGCCAGTCTTGTAAAATGCAAGGGAACCACTGATGTAAATTATAAAGATATTGATGCTTTTTTGGTTCTAATCCAGCGGTTCCCAACCTTGGACTGGAGCTCCTGGAAATCCTAGCCAGCACAGCTAATGGTAAAGGTTTCTGGGAGTTTAGTCCAAGGACATCTAGGGACCCAAGGTTGAGAACCACTGTTCTAAGCAATAACTTGAACATAAGGCACACACACCCTTTTGTTTGAAGGCCATATGCAGCTGTAATGTTCTCAATCATTGTGTGAGGATCTGAGATTGGCACAGAGGTGCCACTTTGTGAACTTCCTTTTCCATAGGATGAGTTTGCTCTACACCGCACACATATTCCCTTCACCGTAGCTAAAAGTAAGGAAGCTGCCTTAGGCCAATTAGTCTATCTAGTGCAAGCCCTGTGGCAGCCTGGGTCCTTTTTTCACCTGGTGGCCCCAACCAAAGGAAAACAAAATTGATTGGATGGTCACATCTGAACTTTGGAAAACAAGTATTTTGCTAAAACATATGCAAGAGGCACACCTTGTTTTAGAGGAGCGTTACAGACCAGAGTCCTATGGCCTATTACATTCACCGAGTGTATTTTTTGGGTACATCTACAGAAAAGTGTCCAATACCTCTTTGCACTAGGGTAAGCAAATCGGAGATTGTAGAACAATAATGGGCAATATATTATACTCTGTTCGTAGAAAATTATACTCTGTCTGCAGTGCAAGAATCCTTCGCCATCACCCTTAGGGGCACCTTTCGTTTATGGGAAAGTATTTTTTAGAAATTGGATTTCTCTGTTAGACTCCATAGGCTGCACAGTTTCCACCCTGGTCCCTAAATGACTGGTGTTGGCTTGCCAGGTTTTCTGGCAGGGATGTTTTCTGAACTCTTTCTGGAGATGCCAGGAAAGGCATCTGGCACCTTTTAAAAAATGCAAAGCATGTGTTTTACCTTTTAGCTGTGCTATCTTCTGAAATCCTAGTTAAGAGGGAACTAATTTAGCATTAATCACCATTGATTCATATAATGGTGAATTGGGAGGGTGTCCAGACTGAAGAACCCTACTACTGCTGATCAAAAGGCACTGTGCAGCCATGCCATCTTTTTCCCCCTCCTCATCTCATTTTTTTCCTGGTGAGGACTCTGTGTGTGTGTTTGTGTTTCAAATGAAAGATGACAGCTAGATCTCCTGCCCAGTAAAATTCTATGGGTGTGGCAGTTTAGTCACATATTGGCTGAAATCTAACAGTAAGTTGCAGTTTGAGTAGGCTCATTGAATCAGTGGGGATTTGGTAAGTCATCATCTCTGTAAATGATTCAGTGGACCTATTCTAGATGCACCTTTCTACTGGATTTCAGCCAGTAAGACTTTTATCTGGAAGCAGTGCATAGCTAAAGGTGAATGTGGTAGGAAAGTGGCGTTCCTGCTGTCATTTCAGCAAGTATGAATCCTGCACCCCTCTTTCTGTTATTGGACTGAGGCGAATGGATCAGTGCTGCATTTGTTGCTATTCCTGTAGTACCTACAAAAGGCAGAAATCACTGAAATGCCATAGTTTAAAGAGCAGGAGGCTGTCCTGTCTTGGTAGCCTCTCCCTGTGAGCTCAGCACCAGTTTCTGGCTTGTATGGAGAGACTGCCTGGACAGAGAAATCTGCACCCCCCCATCCCCAACTGTTGCAGTGCTGATTAAAGTAACAACGGAATGGGTGGGGCTGTCATGCTCCCCTCATTTCAGGTGAATGCCATGTGCTTCAAACACACTTTAAGCAAACTTCTACCTTGTAATATTCTATGACATTGTTCTCACAATTCTTCTGTTTCGCCATATTTGTACAAAGATCATCCAATTTTGATACTAACAATTGAAGTCAGGAGGAGTTAATGTTACTCTTACTATGAACCGGCTGGTAGACTGTTTTGTGGAAGCCTTACCTGTTGGCAGGTATGGTGTACTTGTCGTCATTTAGTCAGTTAGTCGTGTCCGACTCTTCGTGACCCCCATGGACCAGAGCACGCCAGGCTCTCCTGTCTTCCACTGCCTCCCAGAGTTGTGTCAAATTCATGCTGGTAGTTTTGATGACATTGTCCAGCCATCTCATCCTCTGTCGTCCCCTTCTCCTCTTGCCTTCACACTTTCTTAACATCAGCGTCTTTTCCAGGGAGTCTTCTCTTCTCATGAGATGTCCAAAGTATTGGAGCCTCAGCTTCGGGATCTGTCCTTCCAGTGAGCACTCAGGCTTGATTTCCTTTAGAATGGATAGGTTTGTTCTCCTTGCAGTCCAGGGGATTCTCAAGAGCCTCCTCCAGCACCACAATTCAAAAGCATCAATTCTTCGGCAGTCACCCTTCTTTATGGTCCAGCTCTCACTTCCGTACATCACTACAGGGAAAACCATAGCTTTGACTATGCGGTCTTTTGTTGGCAAGGTGATGTCTCTGCTTTTTAGGATGCTGTCAAGGTTTATCATCACTTTTCTCCCAAGAAGCAGGCGTCTTTTAATTTCGTGGCTGCTGTCTCCATCTGCAGTGATCAAGCAGCCCAAGAAAGTAAAATCTGTCACTGCCTCCATATCTTCCCCTTCAATTTCCCAGGAGGTGATGGGACCAGTGGCCATGATCTTAGTTTTTTTGATGTTGAGCTTCAGACTGTTTTTTGCACTTTCCTCTTTCACC